TGGGAAAGCTGATTCTACATACGCAGAACATTTATTAAAGGAGAGAAATACATTTAATGATAATTTTCAAATTTTAAAAGAATTACCAAAAAGCTTTAAATTGAACCTACCCAAAAGTCTTTATATTAATAAATACAATACATTAAATATTTTACTAAACGATAAAACTGATGTAAATAATTTTTCTTTATTAAATTGAAAATTGCCTTCAAAAACTTAAATATCTTACCTTATTCTTCCCTTTCGTTGTTCTCACCCCATAAAATTAGTCAACTGTTAGTATTTAAGCTAATTTTGTAACAATTTTAATCAGAATATCTTCACCTGAAGAAGCCAATGTTTTGGTGAAACAATTGTTGTGAACTATTATTAAATATTTTAACGGTCAAACTGATGTAAATAGTTCTCCTTTATTAAATTTAAATTTGCCTTCAAAAACTTAAAATTCTAACCTTATCCCTCCCTTTCGTTGTTCCCACCCCATAAAGTTTGTAAACTCTTAGTATTTAAGCCAATTTTGTAACAATTTTAATCAGAATATGTTCACCTGAAGAAGCCTATGTTTTGGTGAAATATCAATATATATTTTTTTGAAACATTACTTTCGTTTCCTTTAATCGATTAAGAAAAACCGTTAACGTTAACCCTCCCTTCCAAAAAATTATTCCTGGATCCGCCCCTGGCAATTGCATGGATTAATACAAGTATCGCACGACTTAAAAGGAATAAATACGAACATCGATTAATACAGATCTGCAAATAACAAAGTTTAATGTACCAATCTTCGTCAAAGGATTCTGAGTGTACTAACAAAAAAAAAAAAACATTTAATACTGAATGCTAAAAAGGTTGGTCTGCCTTGATGTAGATTGAGTATAAACAACGTTCATACGATTTTCGATTATAAAATGATGGAGGATTTTTCCTTCGTTCGAAATAACATTTTTCATTGGTCACGTTAGTTGACGATCAATCTGTTAGAGGGTCCGTATATATATATAACGCTTCGAACAATATAAAATATCTTGGAAAATTACTTTTCGTCTGTCCGTTCCCTCTCGATAAAAGTACAATCAGACAAACACCTGCGATGCAGTAGCATCTACGTCTATCAATATACCAGCAATTTCAGGCAATGGTCATCAATATATGTACGAGAGGGTGTTTTTAAGTTCGCGGAATGGGGGGTTAAGAAGTGGAAATACCTTCTAAAAAAGATGCTTTATCTTTGCCTAAAAACTACACCGTTTCCTTCACTGTTTCGTCGCTTGAAAATTTCTTTCCGCGAAGATTTTTCTTCAAGTTTGAGAATGGGTAATAATCGCTGTGAGCTAGGTCAGGACTGTAGGGTGGATGAGCCAAAATTTCGAAACTCACCTTCTGCGGGGCAGCCATCGCAACACGGCTCTCAAAAGGAAGGCACTTTTTGTCAATTTTGCTCTTCTTTTTTCTATGAACTGCTTCCTTTAACTGCTCTAGGATTGAAGCATAGCATTCTCCCGTTATGGAGACACGTTTATCTGGTTAATCGATCAACAGGATCCTTTCCGAGTCCCAAAAAACTGTCGCCATGATTTTCCTAGCCGACTGTGACACCTTAAACATTTTAGGTGGTGGTGTGTCAAAATGATGAACCCGTTTCGTTCCCAGTAACAATTCGTGTCAATACTTCATCTTTATCTTCACTACAAGGGCCCAAAAATCACACGAGAACACTCCACATGCTATCGTTTTTGAGGTGGAGTGAGCATTCTCAGCACCCATCTTGCACTGACTTTAGTCATGCCAAGGTGACCGTGAAGACTTTTAAAAATGGTTGTATCTGACACTCCTATCATTTCTGCGAGCCGTTTCTTCTTCTTCCAGTATTAATCTTTAAACTTTTTGAATGATTTCCGGAGTGGTTACCTCGATCGGCCGGCCTGGCCGTGGGTCGTCTTTAAGTGAGTCCCTGCCTTGCTTAAAGAGGGTATGCCATTGTAAACCATGGTTTTACCTTGGCAAGAGTCTTCATAAACGAATGACATTTCTTTCAGTACGGTTTGAATTGATTTTCCTTGCTTGGTAAGGAACTTTATTGACAGCGCGGTACTCGATTTTCTCAATATTCCACAATTTGTTCCTGATTGATTTGTTTGGTCGACGACAGTTCAAAGACTACTGGCCTAATTACGACAACACTTGCTATTTATACTAACAATCAGTTGCCTAATTCGTAATGACTCGAGTAAATATCCTACCTACCCATTCCGTAGACTTAAAAACTCACCCTCGTATGTATACCTACATGTATGACCCGACAAGCTCAATTTTTTATTTTTTATTATCTTTTCATTAGTTTCAGCAAAGACCAAATAATTATTATGATTATTATTTAGTGACACCAACATTTAATGTCACAGTTTTATAAAAATCTAAAGGAACATACGTTTTGTAACTACCCCTAAAAATATCGGACAATTGCAAGTTATGATATTTACTTGTTTATCTTAATAAATAAAATATCAACCACAAATCGTCTTTTAATAGGTCAGAACTTTTGATATTTTGTTGTAGTGTAGCAAATCACTCTAATGCATGTCCTTCGGGATTTTCGCAGAAATTAATAGAGAGTACGTCTCTGTGTAGTGTTTCAATGGTACGTTTTTCTAATGGCTCATCCCGATAAACGAATGATTTTTAATGTCTAAAGACTGGAGTGAAACTTATGGTAAGAATTAGAAGAAATTCCTTTGATAAAATTTTTGAACAACTTTCTAAGAATCCCGCATAAATTGTTCAACCCTACTTCATTGTAAGGGAAAGTACCCGAGATAAAAATGTTCAATCTCTCAGAGTCTTTGAAAGCGCGACTCTAGTCTTCGTCTCTCATCGAGTCTCTCGGGTGTCGCTGAGACTGTCAAAAAAACTGTTTAGCGTCTCTGAACGAGAGACTCGAATCTCTCAATAAGTGGTATCTCGATAGACATGGTTAAAATTTTCTAAGTTCAACATATTTCAGAGATCCCAGTCTTTCTACGAGAGACTCGAGTCTCTCAATTTTTCAGTTTTATTCATTCAGTCTCTCTGTGAGAGACTCGAATCTCTGAATTAACAATTTTATCGTTCGAGTCTCTCATAC